GTTCCATGACAGTGCTGCTGGGTGAAATAGCTGCATTCCTTGATTAGTTCTATCACATTGTAAACTTTCCTCCTGATTTACAGATGGCTGCACCGTGTTCTGCATTATGATCACCTTACTGCTATAAAACATTTTGCTGGACTGAAATTGATTAGAACAATAAATAGGGTCATGAATCATCGTCTTTCATTTGCATTTAAATGTCTGCAGTCAAATCTTGTGGCGCCACTCGTAGACACTCAGAACAGACTAGACAGGTAGATTCCATGGAGAGCACAAAATAGAAGCGCAAGCTATGGTTAGGAAGTGCACATAGTTACAAAGTGGTTAATTGAACAGTCTTGTTTCTATACAATAATATGCTACCACTGCTATAAAAATTATCACTTTGGCCATTTACAGTAATGTTTTTTCTAAAAATTAAAACTCATTATTTACTCATTCTCATGATGTTCCAAACCGGTATGACTTCCCTTGCTATTTTCCAAGCAAGTACAATTAATGCAGATAGATGCTTTCAAGCTTAAAACACACACACACACACACACACACAAAACATCATTAAAGTATTATAAAAGTGATCCATATGGTAAAGCTATCCTATGGCTTCAGATGATTTGGATGTAAGTCACACAGACTTTTGACACTTTCACTGAGCTTTTGCCTCGTTTTTGAGGCTTGAAAGCTCTTTTCTCTATTCATAGTAATTGCACAGAAAAAACGTGATCAGTGCTTTTTTCAAAATGTATTCTTTAGTGTTATATGGAAGAAAGAAAGTCATACAGCTTTGGAACCACATGAGGGTAAATCAATTATGGCATTTTTATTTTTGGTTGAACTAATCACCAACAAAGACGATAGGAACTAACTGGACAGAAACAAGGCCATTTACAAGGCAAAGGCAAAGTCGTTCAGTGCGGTCAGAGAGGTCAGGTGAGGTGACAGATGAGGAAGAATCTACCTCAGTGGCCTTGACACTCAAGAGGAATTCCTGGCAGAGTGACCACACCAAGCCAGATGTTATGGGTCTCCTCCTGACTTACCTTCCAAATTTGGTGACCAGAGTGCCCACCATCAAAGAGCCGATCAGGCCTCCAATCGCAAACACAGAAACGGTGAGTGAATACATGAGCGTCAGGGCCTCCTCGTTTAATCCAGTTCCATTGCGACTTACCACTGTACGGTTATAGAAGTCTTTAATGTACTGTGAGTGACAGGGAAACGGACAGACAGAGAGAAAGAGAGAAATTAAAGTGAATAGTTCACCCAAAAATACTCTCTTGCTGAAAAACTGGACTTCCCTTTTTCGGTCCAATTTTATAGGATATCTTGTGCTATTCCATTTATTGAAAATAAAAAAGGAAAAGCTGTAAAGCTACAAAAAATTATAGTATAAAATACAGTATAAAAATTTCATAAAAGTAGTCCATATGACTACTTCTCACATGTCCCAACTTTAACGGTCTACGAATAAAATTTTTGGAACGACATAAGGATGATTTTATTTGTGGGTGAACTAAAACATTTTTAAATATTTAACTTTTTGATATTTAGTTTAATACACGAACACAAGGTAAGGCATCAACAGCCATTCCCAATTTCAAAAATGTCCTTTTTCTTCAAGCTTGAAGCTTCTATTCAGTGAAACACACCTATCAACATGGACTTACATTCTTCAGTTTCATGACAAGCTCCTCTTTATCTCTTTCTTTCTATGCAACTCACTCTCTCAATTGCCTGTACTTTAAGATCACAGTCTAATTTCATTTAATTAGTTTATGTACCTTTTCTTTTCTATTCTAAACCTAAGCTGCAGTTATCATTTAACAGACTTGGGAAAACTCTTAATATAGTCTTTCAATTTACTCAACAATAGATTCAACTGAACTAAAACTGAGTTTACAAAAAAAACCTGGATTACTGATAATATTGATTGAGCTTCTGCTGCAAAAAAAGCAAGCAACTGTTTCCAGCTGTGATTTTTGGATTTCTATGTTTGAATCCTCTTCCTTAGCACATGATGTTCCAAGAGAAACAGAACAAAACAAAGCCACGGTAGGGTATATAACAGCCAGTCAGGAGACCAGACAGGAGAATTTAAATATTTTCATCATTAACAGGCTAATGGGGCAGGGCAAATAGGTCCCTACTTATATACATGAAGAGCTGCTAGAGGCAACCACTGCAGCACAAAATGCCTGACAAGCCAAGATGAACAAATAACATCTAACTGACTCATCTACAAAAAATGAAAATAAGGCTTCAACACTTTGTTTCTTCAAGTTTCTGGAGAAAGTCTAAAGATAACTTTCTCTTTTTGTCCCATATCATTATGCTGGGCAAACCTCAACGCTCTCTGGTTAAAATTATGATTTATTTATATAAATCTAATGTATAAATAGTAAGTACCATATGATATATGAAAAAATATCAATTAATGTTAATTCATGTTTAAATTATTACAGAATTCCTTGTAGAAATCACACTTTTACAACAAGAATGTATAGAATGCACAGAATCGTGCAACATTCCCTGAGATCTTGCATCAGGAGAGCCTCTGTTCAGGCAACTTTGTTTATTTCGTCCTCGAGCCTGACATGCATCTCTCTACTGGAAGCCACTTTTAAGAATCTTTTTTGATTAAATGAAATACTATAAACTGGCTATGTTATCTACTGGTTGTTTGTTTTGATAAGCAGTTTTGATCGATAACGAGTTTTGAGGTACTGAGTGTGTCAATGAGCTCTTACCCCGGCAGGAGAGTTGACCACAGCTAAGTTGTAACCATACAGCATTGAGCTACCAAAGGAGGTAAGGAAAGCCACTGCCAGCAGAGATGAGGTAAGATGCTATGAAAAAAGAAAAAAGAAATTAGAAAATATTTATGGCCTGTAAGCTATAATTTTCCTTACTTTTTTACCCCCTTAAAGCGGCACGCTATCTCTGTTGTTTCTTTTTCTTTCAAATGCTGTGACTGAAACAATGAGCACATGCATGAACCCTGATGTCAAAGAATTACATTTAGAATTAGTCTCAGACATCCTGACAGTGTTTCAAAAGAACAAATTCAGAAATGAAACAAAAACGGACATTTTATAAAATAAAGAGTGCTCAGTACATAAATAATGGGTTTGTATTTACATGTCCATTAATGTGTTGAACTAGTACATAATTTAATATGTATGTGGCACACAAAAAGATATATTTATAAATAAATGTATTTAGTTTTATAAACAAATACATTTAATCTGTATATTTGTAAGCATTCTATTCTATTCTATTCATTCTAATGATCTTAAAATGTTGAAGCAACAGTTCCGGTCACAAGAGGAGAGAATAGCTTTCTCATGGTGTGACTTCAGTGGTCGTTACACTTCAGATCATGAGTGGAAAACTTAATTTGTCCCACTAATGGTCAGATACAGTTGCTTATACGTAGTCCTACACCTGAGGGAAGATGCTGAGAAAATGTCTTGTGACATTAACTTAATGGCTTTTTTTCTACACACCATATCGTTCAAAAGAAAAATGTGACATTAAATATTGCATTAATATTACTGATAACAATACCTTTTGAAACCTATTATTACAAAACCTTCATCAACCAAACTTCAACAGCCTACTACAATTAAACTTTAATAAAGTACTAAACTGAAGATCTGTTGATGGCGATCAATAATAGGCTTAAGAGAATGATAAGACAACTAGAACGAAAACAAATAAGTTACAAAACAAACGTATATTTATAACAAAATGACATTTAAATAATTGTTAGTGATTAAATAGTCTACTTACCGATGATATTTTGCCTGGACTAATAATTAACACTTCTTCAGCCATATTAAAGTTATTTATAGGCTACAAGACTTCTTGAGATAAATAATATGAGTTAAGTTTAGTTAGTTAGTTTCTACTGGCCGTCTTTCAGTGCTACAGACTTCATCTTGGACTTGAGGGTGTGGTCATAGCTGACATGAGGGCGTGGTCACACTAGATTGACAGCGAGCACATCGTATGATTGACAGCGAAGCGGCCTCTCATCTCATCAATCCTGTCCTGTGCTCGCGCTTCTCGCACTGGCACTGCACTTCCGACCGAGCGAGGCTCGCGTTTCTTAACAAGACCAAGCTTGTACAATCACATGACAGTCAACAACGTGATTCCTGCTGAAATCAATTAGCTAAGTGAATTTACAAAGTCTGCAGTCACTAGAATGAGGGGACTACGGAGAATCCAATAGTGAGTCATCCAAAAATACAGCAAAGAGAGTAAAAAGGCGATATTCATGAACAGTGTGTGTATATCAATCGCGGTAGAGTGAATGGATACATTGAATGCTATTAGGGTCAGTTCAGAGGAACTAGTTAGTATGAAACTTTAAATAGCTCCTCTTTCGTTAACTAAATGTTCTGTTTGTTATAACTGTAGCAGCCTATCCAGAGGAAGTTCTTATGATGATATTAGACGTCGACTAATGTTCTCTAGTATTCTATGAGAGACTCTTATGAGCTTAAAGTCAACATGGAATGAGTGTAGAAAACGTCCCCTTCCTGCATTTATTTAGATATTTTAGCCTTATTTAGGCTATACTGTGTTCAGTGTTCGAACTAAGTTATACTGTGGACTTTGGGGGAGCCCACTTGTTTTTTTATAAGGGGGGTTCGTGCTCTTGCGCCTGAATGAGGGCTTACAATGACTTACAAAGATACATGACAGCTACAAGTGTATGCACTACTTGCTTTATGCAAGCGCTATATAGGATAAGTCAAAGTCACTATACAGGATTTACCCTATTATACTTTATCGTCACGAATTGATAGGTGAAACAACAAATAGTCTATAAACAAAGCATAGTCATACAGCTTTGGAACCACATGAGGGTAAATCAATTATGGCATTTTTATTTTTGGTTGAACTAATCACCAACAAAGACACCTGGAACTAACTGGACAGAACAAAATGTCTCCTCTTTTCAGAGTGCAATCAAGGCCATTTACAAGGCAAAGGCAAAGTCGTTCAGTGCGGTCAGGTGAGGTGACAGATGAGGAAGAATCTACCTCGGTGGCCCTGACACTTGAGACAGGATTTCCTGGCAGAGTGACCACACCATGCCAGATGTTATGGGTCTCCTCCTGACTTACCTTCCAAATTTGGTGACCAGAGTGCCCACCATCAAAGAGCCGATCAGGCCTCCAATCGCAAACACAGAAACGGTGAGTGAATACATGAGCGTCAGGGCCTCCTCGTTTAATCCAGTTCCATTGCGACTTACCACTGTACGGTTATAGAAGTCTTTAATGTACTGTGAGTGACAGGGAAACGGACAGACAGAGAGAAAGAGAGAAATTAAAGTGAATAGTTCACCCAAAAATACTCTCTTGCTGAAAAACTGGACTTCCCTTTTTCGGTCCAATTTTATAGGATATCTTGTGCTATTCCATTTATTGAAAATAAAAAAGGAAAAGCTGTAAAGCTACAAAAAATTATAGTATAAAATACAGTATAAAAATTTCATAAAAGTAGTCCATATGACTACTTCTCACATGTCCCAACTTTAACGGTCTACGAATAAAATTTTTGGAACGACATAAGGATGATTTTATTTGTGGGTGAACTAAAACATTTTTAAATATTTAACTTTTTGATATTTAGTTTAATACACGAACACAAGGTAAGGCATCAACAGCCATTCCCAATTTCAAAAATGTCCTTTTTCTTCAAGCTTGAAGCTTCTATTCAGTGAAACACACCTATCAACATGGACTTACATTCTTCAGTTTCATGACAAGCTCCTCTTTATCTCTTTCTTTCTATGCAACTCACTCTCTCAATTGCCTGTACTTTAAGATCACAGTCTAATTTCATTTAATTAGTTTATGTACCTTTTCTTTTCTATTCTAAACCTAAGCTGCAGTTATCATTTAACAGACTTGGGAAAACTCTTAATATAGTCTTTCAATTTACTCAACAATAGATTCAACTGAACTAAAACTGAGTTTACAAAAAAAACCTGGATTACTGATAATATTGATTGAGCTTCTGCTGCAAAAAAAGCAAGCAACTGTTTCCAGCTGTGATTTTTGGATTTCTATGTTTGAATCCTCTTTATTAGCACATCATGTTCCAAGAAAAACAGAACAAAACAAAGCCACTTAAGTAGGGTATATAACAGCCAGTCAGGAGACCAGACAGGAGAATTTAAATATTTTCATCATTAACAGGCTAATGGGGCAGGGCAAATAGGTCCCTACTTATATACATGAAGAGCTGCTAGAGGCAACCACTGCAGCACAAAATGCCTGACAAGCCAAGATGAACAAATAACATCTAACTGACTCATCTACAAAAAATGAAAATAAGGCTTCAACACTTTGTTTCTTCAAGTTTCTGGAGAAAGTCTAAAGATAACTTTCTCTTTTTGTCCCATATCATTATGCTGGGCAAACCTCAACGCTCTCTGGTTAAAATTATGATTTATTTATATAAATCTAATGTATAAATAGTAAGTACCATATGATATATGAAAAAATATCAATTAATGTTAATTCATGTTTAAATTATTACAGAATTCCTTGTAGAAATCACACTTTTACAACAAGAATGTATAGAATGCACAGAATCGTGCAACATTCCCTGAGATCTTGCATCAGGAGAGCCTCTGTTCAGGCAACTTTGTTTATTTCGTCCTCGAGCCTGACATGCATCTCTCTACTGGAAGCCACTTTTAAGAATCTTTTTTGATTAAATGAAATACTATAAACTGGCTATGTTATCTACTGGTTGTTTGTTTTGATAAGCAGTTTTGATCGATAACGAGTTTTGAGGTACTGAGTGTGTCAATGAGCTCTTACCCCGGCAGGAGAGTTGACCACAGCTAAGTTGTAACCATACAGCATTGAGCTACCAAAGGAGGTAAGGAAAGCCACTGCCAGCAGAGATGAGGTAAGATGCTATGAAAAAAGAAAAAAGAAATTAGAAAATATTTATGGCCTGTAAGCTATAATTTTCCTTACTTTTTTACCCCCTTAAAGCGGCACGCTATCTCTGTTGTTTCTTTTTCTTTCAAATGCTGTGACTGAAACAATGAGCACATGCATGAACCCTGATGTCAAAGAATTACATTTAGAATTAGTCTCAGACATCCTGACAGTGTTTCAAAAGAACAAATTCAGAAATGAAACAAAAACGGACATTTTATAAAATAAAGAGTGCTCAGTACATAAATAATGGGTTTGTATTTACATGTCCATTAATGTGTTGAACTAGTACATAATTTAATATGTATGTGGCACACAAAAAGATATATTTATAAATAAATGTATTTAGTTTTATAAACAAATACATTTAATCTGTATATTTGTAAGCATTCTATTCTATTCGATTCATTCTAATGATCTTAAAATGTTGAAGCAACAGTTCCGGTCACAAGAGGAGAGAATAGCTTTCTCATGGTGTGACTTCAGTGGTCGTTACACTTCAGATCATGAGTGGAAAACTTAATTTGTCCCACTAAGTGGTCAGATACAGTTGCTTATACGTAGTCCTACACGTGAGGGAAGATGCTGAGAAAATGTCTTGTGACATTAACTTAATGGCTTTTTTTCTACACACCATATCGTACAAAAGAAAAATGTGACATTAAATATTGCATTAATATTACTGATAACAATACCTTTTGAAACCTATTATTACAAAACCTTCATCAACCAAACTTCAACAGCCTACTACAATTAAACTTTAATAAAGTACTAAACTGAAGATCTGTTGATGGCGATCAATAATAGGCTTAAGAGAATGATAAGACAACTAGAACGAAAACAAATAAGTTACAAAACAAACGTATATTTATAACAAAATGACATTTAAATAATTGTTAGTGATTAAATAGTCTACTTACCGATGATATTTTGCCTGGACTAATAATTAACACTTCTTCAGCCATATTAAAGTTATTTATAGGCTACAAGACTTCTTGAGATAAATAATATGAGTTAAGTTTAGTTAGTTAGTTTCTACTGGCCGTCTTTCAGTGCTACAGACTTCATCTTGGACTTGAGGGTGTGGTCATAGCTGACATGAGGGCGTGGTCACACTAGATTGACAGCGAGCACATCGTATGATTGACAGCGAAGCGGCCTCTCATCTCATCAATCCTGTCCTGTGCTCGCGCTTCTCGCAGTGGCACTGCACTTCCGACCGAGCGAGGCTCGCGTTTCTTAACAAGACCAAGCTTGTACAATCACATGACAGTCAACAACGTGATTCCTGCTGAAATCAATTAGCTAAGTGAATTTACAAAGTCTGCAGTCACTAGAATGAGGGGACTACGGAGAATCCAATAGTGAGTCATCCAAAAATACAGCAAAGAGAGTAAAAAGGCGATATTCATGAACAGTGTGTGTATATCAATCGCGGTAGAGTGAATGGATACATTGAATGCTATTAGGGTCAGTTCAGAGGAACTAGTTAGTATGAAACTTTAAATAGCTCCTCTTTCGTTAACTAAATGTTCTGTTTGTTATAACTGTAGCAGCCTATCCAGAGGAAGTTCTTATGATGATATTAGACGTCGACTAATGTTCTCTAGTATTCTATACTGAGAGACTCTTATGAGCTTAAAGTCAACATGAAATGAGTGTAGAAAACGTCCCCTTCCTGCATTTATTTAGATATTTTAGCCTTATTTAGGCTATACTGTGTTCAGTGTTCGAGAGACTCTTATGAGCTTAAAGTCAACATGGAATGAGTGTAGAAAACGTCCCCTTCCTGCATTTATTTAGATATTTTAGCCTTATTTAGGCTATACTGTGTTCAGTGTTCGAACTAAGTTATACTGTGGACTTTGGGGGAGCCCACTTGTTTTTTTATAAGGGGGGTTCGTGCTCTTGCGCCTGAATGAGGGCTTACAATGACTTACAAAGATACATGACAGCTACAAGTGTATGCACTACTTGCTTTATGCAAGCGCTATATAGGATAAGTCAAAGTCACTATACAGGATTTACCCTATTATACTTTATCGTCACGAATTGATAGGTGAAACAACAAATAGTCTATAAACAAAGCATCAGGCTGTCTTTGAGTTCACATGAACAACGGTTAAAGTTACTCGTCGTCAGGCTACAGAAGAATACCATAATTCCCCCGTTCAATTAGGCCTACGGCATCGAGAGTCACGCAGACCTATAACAACCCAGCCACAACACATAATTGCGAATAACATGCCTTACCCTTAACACAGAATCGACCACGAGTCCAACGTTTATATTTATTCTACGAAGTTAACATGTACTAAACATGAGTGGAATTTGCACCGCAGCGCCTCCACACCTTGATGCTCATGACAAGAATAACATGTATAGTTATCTTTATTGAAGTGAATTAGGTTTAAATCGCCGTCATGCATGAATTAATGATATTTTGCAATTTAACACATAATAATCCACAATGATCACATTACACAAAACTGAAATTGCACGTCAAAATAACACATTGTCAATTTTTTTTTAGACCCCCCAAAATTTCACAAATCACGTTTTCAGGGGAGCCCATGTCTTATTATGGGGAGCCGAGCTCCCCCGTAGTTCGCACCCTGACTGTGTTGTTCTAGCCAGTAGTAATGCTTTTCCTGATCCACTGAATTTATGCTGACTATTTTTGTCTATCAGGAAATGACAATTCACCCTGTCTGTTTTCTAAATGCATATTATAGGTCAACAGTTCTTTAATGCATACATTTTTTAAATTACTTCGTAATGTTTAATCAAAATGTCTAAACTGGATCTTCCAGTGAAAATGACAAACTTCTTTCTGGTAACGTATGCCGGACTTCTCGCCACTGTGAGTCAAGTTCATCTGCATCCATTTTTAAATACAACGCACTCACATCTTAAAATCCGACCATTCAACCAATACATAGAACTAAGTCACCAACCTAAATTTTGTTTTTTTTGTAATGCATTATTATTATTATGGGTGTATGACAATTATGGAACAAAAGATCTCTTCCGCTTCATCACAACTTTAAGTCCTGTCCTGTATCTTTTCTTGTTAAATATTCAGGTTGACCTTAAAGGGGTCATAGGATGCCCATTTTCCACAAGTTTATATGATTCTTTAGGGTCTTAATGAAAAGTCTGTAACATAGTTTGGTTAAAATTTCTCAATGGTTGTGTAAAAGGCACCTTTTTTACCCTGTCAAAAACAAGCTCTTTTCAGATTAAGCCGTTTTTGTAGCATTTTCCTTTAAATGTTAATGAACTCTGCTGACCCCGCCCCTCTCTTCCGAGCTGCTATCAGAAAGACTTTACTTTAGATTTTACTTTTAAATTCATCGTGAAACTTGCTAATTAGCACATTATTAGGAAAGGCGATTTGCAAAGATTCATTACAAAACATTATACTCACTTCTTCTGTAGATGAGGCTGGATCATGAATGATTTGCGCGAACATAGTCGCATTTATGTAGATCGGGGGCGCATTCCCTTCAAAAACAAATAATCCACTGCGAGTTCAGCGGCTCAGATGTCGGGAGTTAATTGATGAGTGCTATGTTCATTATTACATCCAACAACAGAACACCTCAATCGCTTAGGAGTCATTCTTGTCTACATCTGCTCCGGCGGTGAAACAATGGCGGACTGATGACAGCTCACTCAGGGCGGGTCTAAGGTAAGATGCCAGTCCAGTCTGTGCTGAAACACTACTGTCAATCAAACTATCGTGAGAGGGGCCTGTCTGTGTGACGTCACACAGACAGGCATCTGAGATCGGCTCGATTTGAGAAAGAGGAAATCATTTAACGAGATTTAAAAAAAAAACACTGGGTGGATTTTTATCATTATAGAGTACACACACTACCAACACACATTTCAGTTCAAATTACTTGTAAAAGTGCATGTAGCATCCTATGATCCCTTTAACTAAAGGTGAAAAAGTAGTGGAGACCAAGTAAGATCCTTTTAGAATCATTTTAGAATGTTTTAAGATGGGTTATCTGTGAGGAATCATTGGTTTTGTTAATTTCTTGCTTTGTATAGCAAAACTACATGTTTATAGCTAATGAGTTTGATTAAAATGGAATGTTACAGTTTGAGTCACAAGTTAGCTGATATAATCATTGTCAGTTGAAGTGTGGTGATGATGATGGCACGTTTTGACACATGAAAGAACTTCCTCACTGGCCTGTGTCTCCCTCAGGGCCTGCAGGATCTGACAAATCTGTCATTAGACTTGTGTCAACAACCTCAAGCTGCTTTGTGAAAATCATTTGTTTTAAAATAATACTTAACACATAGATACTAAAAGGGGCATGTGTCGTAGGGGCAACCTAAATATGAAGATATGACATTTGGTATGAAATATAAATTTGCCTATACCTAGTCAATACTTATTAAATCAAATCAAATCAAAAATAAATATTTTGTTCTCCGTTTTCACACTGACTCAAACCTGGTTTTATTTTGGCACTGGTGGAGTCTATTAATGTATAGAAACTTGTTCTTCATTCTCATCATTCTCTCTCCTTCACTCCTCAATCCTCATGCTAGCACATGTGACCCTGGAGTATAGATTGAGCCGCTCTAGTTGATTGCTTTTGGTGTGTTCTTCTAATGTTGGGCTGGAGAGTGTTGTGTACTTGATCAGGTTAAGAATGACTTAGATTGATGACTGTCCCTGAAACCTAATATCCTTTCCCTCTATGGCTGATTCTCTGATGAATGTAATCAGGGACAGCTACTCACAAGCTGACAGCAGGTTAGATTTCTCCAGATCAATGGCGATGTCCTCGGTCTCTTAGAGTCTTTCTTTATAGCTAGTCGCTGTTAAAAATCACACCTCATTCACTCAATTGTATATATTGATTAGTAAATAAGCACTTGGGCTTTATTTATGATTTATGAAAGATAGATAGATATACTATGGATAGATAAATAGAAAGATATACTATAGATAGATAGTTAGTAGATATACTAGTATAGATCGATCGATAGATAGATAGCATAGCATAGCTATGTAGGAAATTAGTTGCCTGGGTCAGCAATCAAATAAAATAGAATACAATTCAAATAATATATAATACACTATATTAGTGTGTGTGTGTGTGTGTGTGTGTGTGTGTATAAATATGTGTGGTCAACAGTGTTTTGATGGAAAAAGTAACATCCTTGTTAGTATAGACCTGTTAGTCAAACCATTGAAGCCCTCTTGTGGCCACCTCATTTACATAAAACCTCCCACCCCCCCCACTCCCTCAAAATAATGGGTAAGAAAAATGGGTGAAATGGGTACCAATTGGGATTCTCCTACTCTTGGTGCAATGCAAGAAGCTGTATTTTCACATGCTCCCTGTATAAGAAGCACTGTTGGCTGAGTGCTGTTTAGCACATATTCAGCGAGGGCGTCGCACAAGCTCATGCGAGTGTGTCGAGGCACAGAGGATACATATAGGGGCTTTAAAAGGCTCTAAACTCAAGCTGCCGCATCTGCGAGCCTGCATACATCACTCTGTTTATCGCCGGCACTGCTAATTGAACATAGGCTCACAGAATGATGCCCCCATGTGTTCCATAGCACCGCACTGCCATTGGCTGTTGTCTCGGCGACGCAGCCATTAATGAGACAGGGCCAGGAAGATGGATTACCCAGTGCCATATTGCCCATCATCCCCAATCAAGAACCACCCATGGAAATTGATTGTTCTAATTTGCTCTCATTATTATTATAATACCCGGACAAAATAACACACACGGCTCGCTGTCAAAGCCGTGAAAACCAGCCATTAGTTATGGGGGAGACAGCAAATGCGTTTTATGAGTTTCGCAGTTAGTTGAGACGTTGGATGCAAACACATCTTAATCAGATTTCCACTCCCTCCATCATGGTGATAAAGCATCTCATTATCTCCACCTCAGAGAGTGGTGGAAGAGAGTACACATTCATTTATACTTTAATGTCAGTGTCACATTTTTACTTTGTGAATAATGCCTTGAACTTTCCGTGAACAAGAACAGTAGCATTTGCTGATCTAAATGGCAGAGCAGAAAACAACATCACGCTCTGGCCAGGTTGAAAATTATTACCCTGGAAACAAATGAGGAAAAAAATGAGGTTTAATTTGTGGACTTTGCTGTAGTCAGCAACTTCA